TGTGTGTGAAAAGGAAGTTAGGGACAGGACCATGAAGTTTACAATGATTTATGAAAACATGACATTCTCATTGTACAGATTGGGAAATTTTTTCAGGGAGATTAAGTAATTTGCCCAACGTCACAAATTCTGGTGTGGTGCTGCGAGTTAATGCTCTGGACTGTAAGGTCAGTTTGAACCACAAGGTCGGTTTGAACTGCAAGGTCAGCAGTTCAAGCTCACCAACCACTCCTTAGAAGCCCTATGTTGTTGTTGTTAGGTGCCATTGAGTCGGCACTGACCCATAGCGACCTTATGCACAGCAGAACAAAGAAACACTGCCTGATCCTGGACCAACCTCACTATTGTTGCCACGCTTAAGCGCACTGATGCTGTCACTTTGCCAATCCATCTCGCTGGGGGTCTTCCTCTTTTTCTCTGACCTTCCACCCCACTAAACATGATATCCTTCTCCAGCGACTGGTCCCTTCTGACAGTATGTCCAAAGTATGAGATACGAAGTTTGGCCATCCTGGCCTCCAATGAACACTCTGTCTGCACTTCTTCCAACATTCAGATCTGTTGATGTTGGAAGCCCATGACACTTTCAATATTCTCCTCCAACACCATAACTCAAAAGCATCAATTCATCTACGGTCTTCCTTATTCACTGTCCAGCTTTCGCATGCATATGAGGTTATTGAAAATACCATGGCTTGGGTCAGGTGCACCTTAGTCCTCAAGCTGACAGCTTTGCTCGTCAACACTTTAAAAAGGTCTTGTGTAGCAGATTTGCCTAATGCAGTATGTCATTTGATTTCTTGACTTTTGTTTCCATGAGTGTTGATAGTTGATCCAAGAAGAATGAAGTCCTTGACAACTTCAATCTTTTCTCTGTTGATAAGGAAGTTGTTTATTGGTCCAGTGGTGATGGGTGAGCCTGCTGGTATTTAAAATACCAGTGGTATAGCTTCCAGAATCACAGCAACTCACAAGCCACCACAGTACGCCAAACTGACAGACATGTGGTTGTGGGAGCCCTATACAGGGTCACAATGAGTCAGAATTACATATGGCACTTAACAAAACAATGTCACAATGGGCTTCCTCTGTAATGCCTAATAACCATTGTCTTTCAATTCATTGTGGTAATTCGTGTTAGTTTTTCCAGTTTAGGTGCTTGCACATTTCTTCCAAGATACTTTTTCATTTCAAAGTATATAAATAAAATACAATAAAGTCAGGAAAGTGTTAAGATGCTGATGTTTCATATAATGTTTTCTTTTTGATTGAAAGGCCTGTTGCATTAAAACATTTTTTTAAATTTTTACTTTAACCTTTCACTCTTGTTCATACCAGAGTATTGTGAATGCAACCATACCGGTAACTCTTAAATAATGTTGAGCACAAGGAGTCAGGCACAAAAAAGAATATATTGTATGATTTTTTTCACTTGAAATACAAAACTAGGCAAGATTGATTTGTGTTGTTGGAAACCAGTATAAAAGTTACCTCTGCAGAGGTGGGAGTGATTGGAAGGGAAATCTGAAGGAAATTCTGAGTGTCCTGGTTATGAGGGTGCTGGTAATGTTGCTTATTGTTCTGGGGCATGGTTACATGGATGTGTTTAGTTTGAAAAAATTCATCAGACTCAACACTTAAGTACATTTTAGTAGGTAGATTATATACTTCCATAACAACTACACACACATTCACACAAAGACTGAGTGCCTCCCAACAACACATGGTGTTGTGCTAAATGCTGTGAAAGGCATAAAAATGGAAGTAAGGGTGCAGGCCACTGGAACAGGATCTTTTTTCGAAAATTAGTGGCTAAGAGCTTGAGCAAGTCACTTATTCCTGAGCAGCTTCATTTTATTGTGGCTTAATGCACTGAACTGCAAAGTCGGTTTGGACTGCAAAGTTGGCAGTTCAAGCTCACCAGTTGCTGCTCAGAAACCCTATATAGGATCTCTATGGGTCAGAACCGACTAGATAACACTTAATAACAATAGGTTAGGCTATTGTCTCATGGGACAACTAGGACAAGTGGCATAACAGTTCATTGATATTTCACATCTTAGTTTGATGAGTAGCATGTGGTGTCTTAAAAACCAGTGAGCAGATATCTAAGATACACCGACTAGTCTCTCAAGAAAGAATTTAGTCTCCAAGTCTAATGGCCCATGGGAACTAGCCTGTTTAGCCTGAGACCAGACTAGGTGGTACCTGGCTACCATTGTGTACCAACCTTTCTGACCAGGGACACAACAGAAGATTCCAGTTGGAATGAGAGAAAAATGGAGAACAAAACTCAAATTCATAAAAAAGACCAGACTTATGAACTGTTAAGATAGAGACTAGAGGAACCCTTGACACTGTTGCCCCAAGAAAGATACCCTTTTTATCTTGGAACTGAAGTCACTCTCTGAAGTCACCTTTCAGTCTAATAACAGATGGGTCTATATGAAACAATAGGTAAATTGAGTATCAGAATAGTGGCAAATTGCAGATTAGCATGGGACATGGGTCTTTTAAACTGCTTCAAGGCAAAAAGAAATGGGATTTAAAGAACTTTGGAAAATGGGAAAGACTTGGCAGAGAAGTTGTGGGAAGTTGGGAGTGAAAAAAAAAAAAAAAACACAACTTGGTGAGGATTAGGGCAGAATGAATTGAAGCCACATGGAAAAAAAGCATTCTTTTGAGAATTTGTTCTTGACTGGAGCACACAGCCATCTACTGGGAAGTAGCAGCACATTAGACTAGGTGGTAAGGTGATTCCTCCTTATGTAGGCTTTGAATAAAAGACTAAGTATGTATTTGATTCCGTAGGATGCAGGGAGGGATATAACATAGCAAAGTTCCAGGAACAAATGGCTAAGGTAAGCAAGAGACAAGGCAAGAAATTCATCTAAAAAAGCTGATGGAACTTGAGGGCTGAGCCTGGAGTGGTGCTCATGAGGATTAAAAAAGCTATTTCTGATGTGAAGGAAAAGGCTACAGGACTTAATGATTGTTAGGGATATACCTTCATGAAATGTTATTAATCAATTTAATATTTGAAAAAGGTTATAATTATATAGCATTATAGTTAGGGGAACAGACTGGAGTCACACCAAAACCAAAAACCCATTGCCGTTGATTCTAAGGCATACTGATCCTACAGGACAGAATACAACTGCCCCATAGGTTTTTCTATGTTGTACTCTTTCTCCCATGGAGTGAATGGTGGTTTTGAACTATTGATCTTTTCAGTTTGCAGTCAAGCGCTTTAACTTCAGCACCACCAGGGCTCCTTCTGGAGCCACACAGACGCTTAAAATCCTGGCTCTGCCTTTCATATTGTATAAATTTAGACTAGTTCCCTCATCATTCTAAACTTGCCCACAGTCTTTAAACTAGAGTTAAGAGCAGAGCTACCTTACAGGGTTTTAGAGTTAATACTTGAAGGCACTTAAAAAGTGCTGGCACACAGCAGGGGCTCAATAAATGTCTGTCATTGTTGAGAATCTAGTACTTGTGTGATATGGGTTCCCACCAAGTCAGTGAAATTGTCTGCTGTGGCTGAAGCTTATCTGTTAATGAGCAGGATCTGTTGGGTCATCTGGGATGACATAGGATCTAATGTTTACAAGTCTGGCTTAGCAATATCCCATGGATTGTATAAAGCATAATCTGTGGGTCACTCTCTCTAAATCTAAAGGCACACCAGAAACAAGACAAAACAAAATTCATCACTTTTAACAAGAATGTACTTTATTTAAACAATGCATCACAGTTTTCTCTACACTCTTCACTCACTCATCAGCAAATTTTTCACTGGAATCATGTGACATGTTAACAGTGTCAAACTATACTTCACCGCCTGTCAAACGCTAAACATTCAACATAGAGACAAAAAGTGCTTGAAGCACCAAAGAGAAAGAGCAAAAGGCTAGGAGAGGCCAACAGAGATACTTTAGCAGTTAAAAGGGATGGATAGCGTGGGGGAATTAGATTCCTGAGCACCATCAGATTTCCCTTAAGGTTTAGAGGAGTTTTACAGAGCCATCTTTACAAGACATAAGATAACTATAAGTAAGGAATTTGAGAAATGTACATTTTTAGATATTAAGCAAGTTATCAACATTCCTGGATTGGCAGAAAAGAGAGCAGGGGGAAAGAAAGTGGGAATAGGAAGCTGACTAGAGACAGGTAGAGAGAAGCGGAGAAGGAAAAAGTTGTGCCTTGAGGGTATGAAGTTTGGAACGTGTCAGGAGTTGAAGAATGAAAAGCTGTTCACAAGTCTGGGAGATGGACTACAAGAGAAAGCCTGGGATTTTACACCTTCCAGGGGGTGAAGATAAATTCTAAAGCTGCACAGCGATCGACAGTGAGTGACACCTAAGCCATGTTTTGTTAAGAATATGACATTCTCACCCTTGTTTGACTAATTACACTGTATAGTACTAATTTAACGCATGTATGCCCAGAGTGCAGTCAGCAAGTTAATTCAATCCGTCAAGATTCAGTCAAGAGATAAGAGTTCATTTTCCTCCCATGGCTTTTTAGTAGTCTCCTAAAGCTCATTCTCCTCACTTTTAATAAGCTAGTATTGCCAAACACTGTACAATCAAATACAGGCTGATCATGATCAAAGCCCACATTGTTCCTGAGCTTTGACTGTGATGTGGAACACAGCAGGCAGGATGGAAATTATTACCTCTTTGTGGGGGATCAAAAACTGCATAACCATATATATATCTAAACAAGGGAGATCAAATTGGCTAATTTAATTAGCTGCTCAGAGCCCCTCTTGTCAAAAAGTCATAAACTTCAGACTGATTATGCAAAACACAATTCTGCTACTCAGATGCCCTGAGTTTAGGAAGCGCTGGTTTTGATGATTCTAGCCAGTTATATTTCCATCTTCTCAGGTACGTTTGCTAAGACTCCTCTGCCCAGCAGGAAAAAGCTTCATATAAATGTGTACCACATTCCAGAGTGGTACCTTCTAAGGTGCCATGGTCTTCCCATCCCATTCAGTTGTCCACCTCCTCCTCCTCATTCTGTTCTTCTTCTTCCAGCTTGTCCTCATCTTCATCGTTGTCCTCATCCCTGCTCTTGTCTTGTTCTTCTGAATCGTTTTTTTTGTCTTTGTCCTTCTTCTTTTGCTCTGAAGCTTCTTTCTTGCCTTTCTGTTCTCGCCTGTATGCTAAGGGGAGAAAGAAAGGGGTTAGGAGGTAGGGCTACAAGAGTAAACCAACTCCAGCAGCGAATTCATTCCATAGCTGGAAAAGCTCAGGCGCAGAAGGAAATATAAACTGCCCAGAGTCACAAAACAGATCTGAGATGGTGTTAACTGAAGGGGGTCTGAAACACAGTACTGGCTTACTAGACTTGAAGAGACCCACACTGAAAAAGCCAGGGAGCAGGTCACACAAACTCACCCTTTTCTATGTGTGTGCTTACCTTCCAAAGCCTCTTTCAGTGGAGTAATGAACCGCTGGAACTCCATTTCCTCCATGGCTGAGAGCACATCACTGGCATTCAGCGTCTTGCGCTTCCCTTTCATTGCAAAGTTGTTGGCACTGCAGGAGGAAGAGTAGGAGAAAAGACCTTCAGAGGCTGTCTGATCCCCTTTAGACGTGTATGGAATGGGCAGGAGCTAGTAACCTGAGTTGGGATGGCCTTCTTAGATGTGTGTGTGTGGCACAGCTAAGTACCTCCCTTCCCTGCACAAAAGGACAGAAGTCAAGTCACTCTGTTGTTGCTTAGAACCTTTAAGAATTAGGTGAGAATTGTGAACCTCTCCCCGTAGGGCTAGCAAACAGCCAGCGGGTTGGCGGACTCCAGGCCAGTAACTCCGAGCCCCCTAATGGTTCAATTCTAGCTGAACTCACCAGGACGTGGCATATAGCACGAAGACGCTGGCAGCGCGGGAGATGGCGCTCCGGGCCTCCTTGGAGATATTGACGCCGTCCGGGAGCTGCGAGGAGAGCGGAGGTGAGCAAAGTTGCCGAGCGGGGACCTGGCCACTCGTCCGCCCCGCCCCACTTCTAGCCTGGCCTGCTCACCGCCTCCTTGATAATCCTGGTGATGACGGCGTTGGGCAGATTTAGGTCCTCTGGCCTCTCTGCCATTGCCGCTATGACGGCCTCCTCTTCTAGCAGCTACGACGTCCGGACTTCCCGCGTCGATGAGATCTGACCCACCGAGGCTTCCGTTCTGCTCTACCCAGCCCACATTGTGTCTGTCCCATAGTGCCCTGCGCAGCGTTCTCTCCCCACCCCAGCCCCGCCTTCGCCTCAAGTTGCCGGTGAATCCAAACTTTCCATGCATCTGAGGTTTTGGGCCCTCCGGGATTGCTTCAGATCTCACAGTGCCTCGTGTGCCCCGTTGCCCCAGCCCTTTTTTTTTGATGCTTCTCGTCATCAACACATTTGTATCTTTCCACCAAATTACATGCGGCGCACGGGACTTCCGTCCTTTTCCCATAGGGCTCCGCGCCGCTGCTTGGCGACGGCCTGGCCTCGGGGCGGGCGATACAGATGGAGGCGTAAACAGAGTCGGCTGGGCGTGGCCAGTTGACTTAATTTAGTCGCCAATAGCGGCGGTATTACACTAGTTGTTTGGGTCCACCGAATCGCAGTTTTCGGATGCCGGTTTCTCTTTTTCCCTAAGCAAAACGGGGAGTCTTTTTCCACGTCTACCGGAATTAATGTTCATCCTTGATATTTTCACTTCTGCTAAGTTTGTAATGATCATACTATGACAACTCGTATCTAAACCTTACTCATTGCAAACAACTCTCCTGTTGCAGCGCGAATGTTGGCTCCATTGGACCGCGTGTGCTTAGATCCCGGTTCTTAATTTTGGTTGGGCGGATAACGAAAGGACCAGCAACCGTTAGTGTAAGAATAATGCAACTCACAATCACATTGGAAAAACACGTCTTTAAAAAAATCTTAAAGAGCAGATGATCAGTTTTGAGTGAATTGAGTGAAGGTTTACAGAGCAGATGATCAGTTTTACATCCAACAGATATTTCATCTCAATGACTGCAGTCCCTTCCATGCAACAGCAGTTACCTTCCCAACCCATTTGAATCTTATCTCCAGGTTAACGTTGCCCTTTCAATTTTGAATAACCATTCCATGGTGCACATACCTCTCTAGTTTCCTTGTCCCCCCTGTATTCCTTTTCACCACTTGGTTGAAAATTGGGCTATCAGGGTGAGTTGGGGACATAGTCTGGGGTTTCTCCTGTCTCTCTGACCAATAAGTCCTGTATTTTTAATAATCTTGAATTTTGTCTCACATTTTCTTCCACTTTATCCAGGACTTTATAATGCGATCCCTTTCAGAGCAGTTGAGAGTGATGACCATTTAGTTCTGAATCGTTCTGAATCATATGCTCCATTAGTCCATTGGATTAAGTGATTCCAAGTAATATTCATTACTCTTCTTTCTTCTGCACTTTGAGAGACCAACAGTTGTTCCTTAGATGACTACTAATAAGTGACAAATGTTGAAATTGTGTTTTTTAGTTCTTTAAATTGTTCACCTCACATCTTTCCTAGTCAAAAATACTATGGTTTTATTGTGGTGGTTTAATTGATATATATGTATCAGAAATTGCCTTCATTTCCACTTTGTGTGTGTGTGAATCATGGCCCTCTTAAGTCAGCCTTTCATTTTCCTGATTTTAATGGATACATGAGTACAGAGAAATATTTATTATGAGAAAAATGACAACGGAAATTGCTTCAGTTAGAGGCCCTAGGATCTGGTGGGAAACACTTGGATAGAGCAGACCTGATTAAAGCTAATCAGCTCCTGCCAATTGCCATTTGTTTTAGAATTAGCCCAATATTGCTAGATATTTTTATTTTTAAGAGGAGCAAGAAAGCTGGACATTATGGACACCCTCAATGTTTAAATATTGCCATAAAGTACAGACCAAACAAGACAAGTCACAGAGCAGGTGTAATCCCAGGGCTGTAGTTTGGTAACTCTAAGTTATAAACTCGTAAAACAGGAACTTCATCTTGTTCATTACCATCTCCTGTGCCGAGAACAGTTCCTTTACATACTTGATAGTCAATAAATATATGTTGAATAAGAGAAAGAAGGTGTAGGCACTGACCTTAGAGAGCTATTAGGGTGGTAGTGCTTACCTCCATCTTCTTTAGAGAAGGAAAGATGATAATATTTGTTGAGCACTTATAAATTACACATAAATGTACATGATCTCATTTAATGCTTCTATCATCCTTAGGGACTCTTTTCCTCTCTGAGGAAGCAAAAAGGTGAAGTCACTTGCTCAAAACAGTACAGTTAGTAAATAAGAATCCAATGGCCTCTGATGTTACTGCTTTAAGGCTATTGCTTTTTTGTTTGAGCAAATGCAATCATTCCTAGAGGGTATTTTAGTTGCCTGCACGGGAATTGGAACATATTGAAAACTGAAGCATGCTTTCCTAAGGAAAAGTGGTGTTCTTTGTGTCTTTGAGTCACCTAAGCACTTCTGTAGTCCTGGTGTGGTGCTGTAGGATAAGCACTGGATTGTTAACCGAAAGGTAGGCAGTTCAAACCATCGCCCGCTCCTCAGAGGGTTGTGATGAATTGGAACCAACTCTGTGGCACTTAGCAGCAACAACAAGGCATGTCTAATAATTTAGTTGTAATTTGAAAAGGCTTTTAGGAAACCATGGCATCTTCTTTTTAATGATTATAACAGGGAAAAGAAGAAGATACTAATATTTATTATGAACTATGTGTTCAGACACTCCAGGCCTGCTTCTAGAAAGATTACAGCCTAGGCAAACTATGGGCAGTTTTATTCTGTCATGTGGGATGGCTATGAGTCTAATCAACTCACTAGTACCTAATAACAACACATGTCAGACCTTTTAGTATTCATTAACTAATTTTATAATAACCCTGTGAAATAGGCTAAGACCCAGGTCACTCAGCTATTAAATGGTCAACAAGAAGACTTTCTGAAGCAAATTCCGTAATACCTCATGCTAAGATGTTTTCATGCTTGCTTGTATTCAGATCCTTAATTATCTTAGGTCCACCATTTATCTATGTGAGCTCACCAGAAATGCTTTATCCTTTGAGTCCAAATTAAGATCTGAACTGCCTAGCTAATGTTTAATGCTCTCTAATTATGTGGTTATTGTTTTTCCAGAAAACTAAAAAGCTGCAGGATGGTTTTTGTCCTAAACCATTTGTAGCTATGAATTTACCAGACGAGAACCTGTGGGACGAAACCATTTGTAACTCTGTGATTTGTCAGCATCCACAATGCTGGGCAGCTATTCGCAGGATTGAGAGGGGCAACCCTCGTATGCTGGGTTCACCCTACAAGACTTCTCTGGATATGGAAGGTGAAATTAGCCAGCCCCTGTCTCCTTCCTCACAAGTTCCTGAAACTTTATGTTTGATCTTCGTCTGGTGATCTGTTTTACATTCCTGGCCTCTTTTCTCAGATAAACTCCCAGTGCTCACCATTGTAAATATCCCAGATGTTCCCCGGCCCACGAGACTTGCAGGATCTACCTTAACCAAGGCTCACTCTTTATTGTCTCGGGGCCCAAAGTTTGACTCCAGATTTCAAGGCAGGTAAATGATCATTGACTCTTCTTTTAAGCACGTTCTGTCTCAGAATGCTGCATTATGACTTTCCTTACCCATATGTAGAAGACTTTGAGAATGCTGATTTAAGAAGAAAACACTAATTCAGTTTAAGAAGTGGTAAATAGAGAGAAGGAAACAAAAAGAGTTGACTAGTTTGGGGACATCTCAGAAAACTGTTTCCACACATATGTTTTAATTTTAGTTTTGAAACGGTTTGTAAACTCCTAAAGGCAAAAGGAATGACTTTTTTTTCTTTTAAACTTTCTGTAAAGTCTAGGCTTGGTGATATGTGACAGATATCTGTGGAACACTTAGACTGTTAAAATCCAAAGATCCAGTTGCTTTCAATCAAACTCCTGGTTGTGGCCCTCAGAGTGGTTTCTTTACTTCTGTTTATTTAAGTCGCCTTTGATGGTTTCTCTTAGGCTAAAGACAGTATAAGGAGCCCTGGTGACACATTGGTTAAGTGCTTGTTTGTTAAGTAGAAGGTTAGCGATTCAAATTCATCTGCTGTTCCGCTGGAGAAAAATTGGCAGCCTGCTTCTGTAACGACTCCAACCTTGGAAAGCCTATGGGGGAAGTTCCACTCTATCCATAGGGTTGCTAGGAGTTGGAATCGACTTCGATGGCATCAGGTTTTGAAAGGCAACAATATTGGAAGGGATAGGACTAGTCTCAGGTTCTTTAGGACCTGAACTCCAGGAAAACAGTTGTATCTCCCAGTTAGGACCTGGGCTGTGCTTCACATAGACACACAGGGACACACTTCCGCTCCTGCCATGCCCATCCATTCAGTCCTGGTCCATACTTTCATCCTTCAGCATCTCTTCCTTTCTGATCTCATCTCTCTGTCCTCTACCAGTCCCCCATTACCTCCTGTGTGGGATTTTGATGTGCATTCTGAGCTGGCCTCCCTACCTTTTCCCCTCTAAATCTTACTGACAAGTTAGCCTTCCACAAATGTTGCTCATATCATCTCTTCACCAAAGAACAAAAGCCCACAACCAGCCCTTCATTTAATATAGAATGTTGTTAAGTGCCATTGAGTCAGTTCCCACTCATAGTTAACCCTGTGTAGGGTTTCTGAGAAGCAAATGGTGGGTTTGAACTGCCAACCTTGCAATTAACAGCTTCTACAACACCACACCAGGACTTCACAGAACCAGATTTCCCTATTTTAGAGTTACAGCCTCTTTACTGGCTGGCTTCTCTTCTCTGAGACCGACTTTTCTAGCAATTGTTGACCCTGGCGTGGTTGTTGGCATTTTCATGCCTGTGTTCTGTTTGCTTGACTAGATGGTAAGCCCTTTGAAAGCAGAGACCATGGCTTCATTCATTCAGCCTCTCAATCGATTTATAAATACATCTTAGTTGGGGGCCACTATACTGGGCACTGTGGATACGACCGTAAACAAGATACAGTTTTTATCCTTAAGATGCTTTTAGTCCTTTTGGGGAGGCAGATAACTAAGTGGGCAGGGACCAATCAATGTGATGAGTGTGTGAGAGGAGTGTGCCCTGGGTGTGTGGAAACTTATAGGTGAACGCTGACTTTTCTGTAGACACGGCACCTGAAGTTTGAGTAGCCTAGTGAAGTAGGGGTTACAGGTAGGAGATGTGTGGTAGAAAGACAAATCCAGGCTATCGGAATAACATGTGCAAAGCCTTGGAGGCAACAGAAAACTCTTCAAATATTAGGGGAAAACTCAGTGTGTCTGGAAGGGAGAGTTGTTGTTGTTAAGTGCCATGGAGTCCGTTCCGACTCATAGAGACCCTGTATAGATAGGGTTTCCGAGGAGCAGCTGGTGGGTTTGAACTATGGACTTTGTGGTTCACAGTCCAGTGCTGATCCTACAGAGCCACACCAGGAGTCCAGAAGATAAGAGTAGGAATGTGTAAAAATACATGTCAACAAACCAAACCTCCCACAAGACTTTCTATTTAAGTGGGTTTGCTAATTCATTGTAATGGTCACATAGACCTCAGACACCATACACACAGTTATGGGGTTTATTAGGGAAATTAACAAGTCAGAGCCAGAAAATACACAGGGCTCAGTTCTTTCAGGCAAAACAGCCTTTCCTCAGCAGTGACCACAGGTAGGCCTCTCTCTGCCTACCTGGACAATGGTACAAAGTTCTTTTAGGGCTGCTGATAAATGCCCATAGGACACACTACTCCACTGTAAGCCTCAGCCTGGAGCTTCTCAGCTCCATGGGTCAGCAAATACAGCTCCTCTAATTAAGTGTCTGGAGGCACCCAGCTCTACAAGCAAGCTTCCTGCCCAAAGTCACTCAGCTTTACTTGTTCCGTGGGCTGGGAAGTCCACAGCTCTGTCTTGTGCTCTGGTTCCTGGTTCTGCTGCTGCTGTTTCTCTGTCACTCCTCTGGCATTACAGCTTTCTGTCTCTGGGGTGAGGAGGTTCAATGCACATGGATTTCGGGGTCCAAAGGACATGTTCCACTCCTAGGCTCTTCTTTGATGGTAGTGAGATTCCCCTTCCTGTTTCGGAGATGGTTCATTTTATACCCAGACTAGAGTTTTACGTTTTTACAATTACAGTGAACTCAGCTAACATGCCTAGCTGAATCATGTCCTATCAGCATCTTCTTCCACATTGTCTTACCCAAACCCAGCAGGGCATCAATTGTTGTTTAGTGGGAATTACAGTCTATGACTAAAGAAGACATCAAATAAATCACTATACCACAGAAGGCGAGAGTGGTCAGGGATGAGCCTGGGGAGCTGTAACAGAAATCTCAGGGACCTAGATGACAAAGAACTTTATAAATCAGGATAAGGAATTGGGTTTTTATTTTATATCTTTGCATTATTAGTCCATTCAACATGTTTTTGAATGTCTACATCAAATGAACTTTACAAAATTATGTTGATGGTGATGCAACTACCTCTGGTTAGAGAGAGAAGCATAGGTTATGAATCTAATTTGATGCTAGAAATAGTACTGAGGTATTTGTAGTATACAATGTCTGTTCCAGAATAATCAACCAACCAACCAGCCATCCAACCAAGAGATGGTGAGACCCTACATTTATTTGATAACTGTTAAGCCAGAGGCTTTCTAGAAATAAATAGAAGACTTTTTATCAAGCACTAACTTTATCATCTCGATAAATCTCTTGTATGTTTTTCATTTTGGGAAAATTTTATACTTTTTAGGACTCAGAAGCATGACAAAGGTTTGGTCAGCAGTTCTAATGGACCTCCCAAAGTAAGTCACAGATGGAAAAAAAGCATGTCACTATTAAACTCTTTACTAGTGAGAATTAAAGATTTTACCTTTATTTTGCATTCTTTCTCCAGATGATTGTACTAAGAATAATGGTCATAATGATGATGTTTAGACCAATAACTGTCTTTTATTGGGCCCTTATTATATGCTAGGCTCTCTGTTGGTGGCTTTACATGCTATACGGTTTCTGAAAATCCCAGGCAGAGGTGGGATTAATTTGGGGAGGTCTGGCATGGGTGTTCCTTTTCTGTCTCAATTCCATGTATAGTATGTTCAGATACTAAGTAAACACTGTCACCGCCTAATAAAGGGGAGTTAGAACACTAGAACGTCAGACCTGAAATGGACCTTAGATTATCTCACCTGTTAACTCTCAAACTTTTTTAGCTATGACCGAAGATGAGAAAAACATTTTACAACAAAATATAAGGTAGTCCTTCCCTTCACCATGGGTGACACTCTCATATTTTCTGCCCTATTTTATTTTCTTTGATTTAGTTTTCAAACAGTGTGGGCTGCAAGTCACCAAATTGGATTTAATGGCTCATGAATAAGTTGCAATTGCAGCATGGGAAATCCTGCTGTCGTATATCTCATTCATCTTTGAAGCTGAGGGTGTTGAGGTCTAGACGGAAGGAACACAGATTTGCTAAAGTACACAGCTAATCAGGAGTAAACTAAGACTCAATAGGAAGAGATACTACACTACTTATCTATAGTAAAAAAATATTTGCTACTCTTTACAGTCCTGCTGGATTCCCTCTCTCTCCCCTCTGAGATACTTCATACAGAATGATTTCTTCTAACCCTAGGTCAAATTTCACAGCTTAAGAGTGGTCCTTCAAGTTTGCATCATACGTAGGCTTTATGTTTCTCTCTTAGGTTTCAGTGCTGAATTTGAATGACACACTGCTTCCCTGCCTTCACGATGTTAGAAATATGGCTGTAATCTGGATCCCTGAAGAACCAGAGAAGAATAGGAGAAGGTGAACACCACGTCTAGAAACTTTAACTCTTATCTTGTACAAATCCCTAAGCAAATCCTCTGCAGGTCTCCTTTTTGTGATCTCTTTTAGCGACCTCATTGCATGAGCAAGAGGTCAGCAAAGGAGGCAGCCATGGCCTTATGAATTTGCTTCTGTCTACACTGGAGTTCTATTTTTCTAAATTGTGGCATAAGTATTATATAAAAACATTTTCCAATTTGACAGTTTTCACATGTACAATTCAGTGACACTGATTATGTTTATCATATTATGCAACTATTACCAATATCCTTTTCCAAATGATTCCTACCATCCCACAGCCATTAACAGAAACTCACTGGCCTCTAAACAATGACTTCCCCTTTCCTGCTCTCTCCCACCCTTGGCAACCACTAATCAGCTGTGGTCTCTTTGCCTGGGCCTATTTCATTTGAGAGGGAGCACACAGTAGTTGGCCTTTGGTGACAGACTCAGCATGAACATTTTTAAGGTTCATCCATGCTGTAGCCCTTTCTCTTTATGGCTGAGGAATAGTCTTTTTTAAAAATAATAATTTTATTGAAATATAACTCATGTACTATATTATTGATTTACTTAAATTTTGGAAGTTAATGGCTTTTAGTATATTCACATATATGTGCAACTATCATGATCACTGGAGTCCTGATGTGGCACTGTGGGGTAAAGCACTGAACTGCAAGGTCAGTTTGAACCACAGTGTTGGCAGTTCAATGCCTCTCCTTGGACACCCTATCCAGGGTCTCTATGAGTCGGGACCAACTTGATGGCACTTAACAACAACAACCACTATCACTGTCAATTTGAGAGTATTTTTTCAAATTTTGTACCCATTAGCAATGACTACCTACTTCCCATCACACTCACCTTGGCAACTACTTATCAACTTTCTGTCTCTTTGGATCTGCCTACTGGAATTTTATTTTAATGTACTTTGAAGGTCCTCTGAGACTTCTCTATGTCCAATTCTACATGGCTATAAGTAGCACACAAGATACAGCCAATGTATTTGTGAGATTTGATTAAGAAAGAAATGTCTTTTGATTGTTAGCTGTTATTAGTTACCAGCAACTAATGGACAAAGTTTTCAGTGAAGAACATTAACCTCTAACCTCAATCCCAAAGCTAATACAGTGGTGCAAAATGACGAGCATCTAAGGCTTGTGTACAAAGCAGAACGTCACAACAGGGGTTTTAGGTGAAGTCCCAAAGATTTGCTTATATTCACAACTGTTGGAAGAAAGTGTTTGGCTCAACTTTTGTGACCACTGAGGCTTTCGGGTTATTATTAAGTGACTGCTTAGAGATGCTCAGATTGAAGTATTCCTTTTCATTCTTTTCTAAAATGATCCTGTGAATACTTCTTTATATGTACAATTTAAAAATATATGTGTATACATGGCATAAACAAACAAGCAAAAACTCTGAGAGTTTATTTGCTTCATGTAAAAGCAGCTCAGAGGCTGGTAGCCTGTGACTAGTAGGTCAGTGTCATGAGGGGATCAGAGAGCCAGATGCCTTCTAGCTTTCTGGGCTGTCATCCTAAGCCATGGCTTCCATAGTCTAAGATGCTTCAGGGGTATTTTAAAGAGCTGAGCTGGCTGCTAAAGCTCAGACCATTAGCTGTGGTCTCTATGTATAGGCCAATTTCATTCAAGTGGGAGCATACAGAAATAGGAGTCCTGGTGTGGCGTTGTGGGCTAATGCACCAGACTGCAAAGCCGTTTGAACTGCAAGGTCAGCAGTTCCAGCTCACCAGCTGCTCCTAGGAAGCCCTACACAGGGTCACTGTGGGTCAGAATCGACTCGATGACACTTAACAACAACAACAACAGCATACAGAAATAGACTTAAATGTCCATGTGCCAGGAAGGAAGAAAGAGGAAGAGATGAGAGAAAAACATAATGCAGTACTTCTTTTTAATATATATACACCGTTGTTTCATTGTAGTGACGACCGTCTCCTCCATTCATCATCGTACAACACTATTTGCTTCCATTCCGTCTGTTTGTTTTTTTGTTTTGTTTTGGGGGTGGCGATGAGGTGAGGAAATGTTCACAAAAACACTCAGGAAATGTAATAATTTAAACAACCAAAGGGCACATTCAGTGTAGTACTTCTTAAACACCTCCTCTGTGCTAAGCAGTTTAGATTCAGTGGAGAATGAAACAGACTTGGTCCTGTCCTGGTGGAGTTTATAGTATTAAAGGGAGTTAGACATTACACATATAACCACATCTAAGTATATAATGATCAATTTGAATTAATGTTGTTGTTGTTGTTGTTGTTAAGTACCGTGGAGTCGGTTCTGACTCATAGTGACCCCTGCACAGGGTTTCCGTGGCTGTAAATCTTTATGGGAGCAGAACGCCTCATTTTTCTCCCGCGGAACCGCTGGTAGTTTTGAACTGCTGACCTTGAGGTTAGCAGCGCTATTCGTAACCACTACACTACCAGAGCTCCTTGAATTAATACTATGGAAGTAAATAACTTTATATGAGAGAATAGTGGGGAACTGAATTTGGATGTGAGGGTAATGGCTTGTTCTTAGCAGCCTTTGGGTAGCAAATGCTACTGGGCTTCCAATCAGCCATCTTTGTAGGCTGACTACAGAAAGAGAATCCTTTGTGGCCATTGTTTACAGATATCCTTGGTGCTTCTGTTTAAAATGTTTTATAATAAGTTGTATTTGTTTTTGTTTCAAGTTCAGCTAAGAAAGCAGGTGTTACCAGCCAGGATGAGAGGGAGAAGAGAAAGAAATCTACAATTGTAAGTTCTGTGGTGTGGCCAAGCATTTATGATCTCCTGAAGGGTTTAATTTTTGTTTTCCTGTCAGGTCTTTCTCCCCCTTTTTCATTCTTTCTCTAAATAAGCAAAGTCTGAAGAAAATCCCTTCTTAGGGATAATTTTTTATTCAGATGCTCTTTGTCCCTGTAGAGAGGTAAAGACTGCCTTGAAGAGACAATTGGAGGAATGGTTGGCTATTCATAGAATTTTTGTCCTATTAAATTAAAGTCCCTAGGATGATGGGAATAGAATTTCAAAGGACCAGGAGTTACAAGACTAGAGATTCTAATTCTCATTCTCTCATTTATGGGGTAAATGTAACCTTGGGTAAGTCATGGTACTGGACTCGGATTGCTGAGTGTATGTGAGTTGTGTTATGTTTGATTTCATTCATTGCTGGATCCCCAGACCTAGCTCTGTGCCTGACACGGAGTTGGCAGACTCATATTTGTTCACTTTTGTAAGGGAATCAATAAATAATCCTTCTGGAAAAAAGACAATTCCCATATGATCTGAAGACAACAATCAAGTAAGGAATCAGAAAAATGTGGTATCTGTCACAATGCAGAGGGCAAGGACTGCTGGATGAGGAGTCTGTAACTGGGAAACATGTAGTATAATAGGGCAGGATTGGTTTGGAAGGTTAGGCTGTCCGGGAAGACGTGAACTGGCAGAGAGTGCCTCTAGCAGTCCTTTTCACTATTTCTCTTCCAGGAAGAGAAGTCATCTTCGAGTTACTTGAGTCACAAGGTGGTTGTGCCTCCCCCGTCCCCAGCACATTTGTCTGAGCCATTAAGCCCCATCCGCATGCTTTCCTGGCCCCACACAGACATGCTGCCTCAGGACCTGCTGAAGGAGTGAGTATCCAGAATCTCGCAGGAGATCCAGAGCATCTGCTTTTTCTCTGAAGTTCAGAAGGTTCTAAGCAGTATGCTCTTTCTGAGTCGGCAGGGGAGTAAACCTTCAGTCTCCTTACTGAGAATGAGCATGCTGTTTTGTTTACTTGTTTCCTGAGTTCCTTCACTCACAGGTGGGCAGTGATGACAGTAATGACCACCACATTTATCGAGCACTTACCATCAGCCACCCTGTGCTAAGCACGTTAGGCATCTGCCTCATTTAATGGTTAAGTGTCAGCTATTAACCAAAAGGTTGGTGTTGGAATATACAAGACCTGGTGATATGCTCTGGTAAAGATTGTAGTCTAGGAACCCTGTGGGAAAGCTTTACTCTGGCATATAGGGTCACTATGAGTTGGAATGAACTTCAAGGCTCACAACAACAACAGAGGAGACAGGCATGATTACACTCTGTTCCTTAGAGATGAGTTATTGGTAAGTGGGAGTCAGAATAGCATATGTGGTTTGGAATGAGGCAGCCTTTGAATTTTGTCTTGAAACTGATTTATTGGCTTGATGAGTTTTGGCGATTCACTTAGCCTCTTGAAGACTTGTTTAAAATTTTTTTTAAATGAGGAGAATACCTGTCACAGTGTTATAAACCTTCAGTGGAATAAAAACACCCGAGACTATATAGTGTCAGTAAATGCAGGTATGATTTTGTTAAGTGCATTTAAAGGTTTTATTGAATGAGTACCTACTGGTGCAGGCCTTTTTATACTTGAAGTGGGAAATTTTTGAGTCCCTTTTATCTTTGTCTCAAGTTACACTCTACTAGAAAAGCAGCCGATGACTGTCCCTGAGCTAGCTCTCTTTGTTCTGTGCAGCCTCCTGGCAGAGGAAGGGGTAACCATGCTTTCTCCAGCTATGAAGATAGAATTGGCCATGATGAAAAAGAACCGTCCCATGGAAAAGAGTCGGCCTGACAGTGCAATTTCTTCTAAGATGTTTTTATCTGTACACCGCCTCACCCTGCAAGTAAGAGCTAGGGAGTATCAGAGGAAGATGTCTGCATGAAAATCCAAACTCATCTCTCTTCAGAGTTCAAAGAGTTGACTTTTCATTTCTTCTTTTTCTTCTGTCCTTCCACTCTGGACCCAAATGTATGAGGGAAGGTTTGAGGAAGGCACTGTTCTCTTTCTTTACACTTCTTCCTCCACACCATCACCCATAACCCCTAGTACAAGGCTCATAACATTGGGTTCTCCGAATGTGCCCATTGAATAGGTGAATACCTGCACTAGAGCCTTTTTCTTCATTTCTCCAGAGACGGGGGCTGAGCCAACCTGCACATTTGAGGAAATTACATAATAACCTGACGACAAAATCTAGATTTCCTAAGGCTACCAGATCTCCAGGTACACTTCATCCACGTTTTCCACACTTTCCCTTGGTCCCAATTCAGTTGGGTTTATGGTCACAGTCAAACAGGAAACAGCTCTGCTGACTTGGTCTTGACCAGAGGGGAAGGATCACCATTCTGGAGTGGGGCGCAGCAAGCAGCCACGGGGCAGGGTGGGAGCAGTCAGTGAGAAGAGAATCAAGCTGGCTCTGTGGTTGCCAGATCCCAGGAAGCAGCAGCAGCAGCAGCAGAGGAAGGTGAAAACACCTGCTCAGAAACAGGTAGAGTGGCAGTGGGGGAACCCCAGGGACTTGCTGGGACTGGGAGAAGTAGTTGCAGCCTGGAATGGTTAGGATGTATGAGAGGTGGAATTCTCCCTGGCTTCTACAGGGATCCCCACTGTTTGGTTGTAGATCTTATATTCTATAAACTCTTTTTGATAAGTTCTCTTCATTCCCAAAAGCCCTAATTTAGTTCCTCCTTACGTGGGTTTCAGGAGCTTAAAGAAGAAACCAAGAGTGATACAGAGCTTTGGAGCACTTTATATAAGCATGAAGTTGACACCATTTATGAGCTTGTATCTGGTAAGAAGATGCGTTTGGAGTGAATGTGTGTTTGGAAAGAACCTATACTTGAGCTTATTCCCAGAATGTAGCTGAGGGTAGGGAAATTTGTCCATGGTTTTGTCATTATGGGGTCTGCCTCTGTCGCACTCAGCATTCTCCTTGGAATGTTTCAAGTTTGGTGGCCTACCACGTATCATACAGCTACCAAATATTTACTGAGCAAAGAAGCAGTAACAGACTTCTGTTTTGTATAGGGATTTGGGAGATGGCCATGAGCAGGCGTCATAAGCATTTTAAATTCAGGTCCTACCTTAGTAAATGGATCAGAAATAATAATAAGCCCATGTTATGAAGAGAACACCCCGGAGGATCCATTGGATAGTGAGGCGGGAAAGAGCTGGGAGTCCTTATGAAAGCCTTCAAAAGTTCTGAGTAAACAGAACTCCAGTGCCCTCCAGCTTCCGGCCACAAGTTAGAGAATCTCAAGATGAAATCAACACACTGTCCAGCCTCAGCCAGGAGCAGTCCTTTTTCTGTGTCATTCATGCTGGAAGGGATAATGGGTATCCCCTCTGTCTAGAGCCCTTTTCTCACACCTGAAACTGAGGGATAATACTGCCCTGTGTCTCTGCTTGAGTGGGGAATGTGAACGAGGGAAAATGAATCCTCCTAAACCTTAGAGGAGTCCTGGTGTGGTGCTGTGGGCTAATGCACTAGACTGCAAAGTCATTTGAACTGTAAAGTTGATGGTTCAAGCTCACCAGCTGCTCCTTGGAAACCCTATACAGGGTCGCTATGGGTCGGAATTGACTCAATGGCACTTACCAACAACAACAAACCTTAGAAGCTTATTCTGCCGTTCTCAGGCTGGACACTACTGATTTTAATGTGAAAATCATTGTTTACTCATCAAAATTACTCTCTGATCCTGGGGCAGTAGGAGGGCTCATGTGAGACCCTTCTGAGAAAAGGGCTGCCCTCTTGCTTTCCCATTCATTCCATTTGAGCACTCAGATACCAGCAATGCTCTCTGGCCTAAAGATAGAAGAAGGTTCCAGACCTTCACGTGGGAGGTAGACAGAACAAGGACCGGGACCCAGGGTGGAATGTAATTTGCCCAAAGTTGGTATGTCATCCAGGGTGATCACTCTACTTCTCTGACTTCCTCTCTGGTGTCTTTCATACCTCTTTGTCATGCCTTCACTAGGATCAGTGTTGCTTGCACCATGGAGTACCTCTTTGAGTGCTGTTCTTACAGCAGTGGCTTGCCCTAACTTAGTTGAGAAAGGCCTTTTAGAAGAGATGATTTTGTACTGGATCTTGAATATGTGGTTTTTTATTGTTAAGTGCCATTGAGTTGGTATCAATTCATAGCAATCTTATGCACAACAGAACGAAAGACTGCCCAGACCTGTGCCAGCCTCACAGTTTTTGCTATGCTTTACCACACTGCTGCTGCGATTGCACCAGTCCATATCATTGGGGTCTCCCTCTTTTTTGCTAACCCTGCACTTTACCAAACATCATGTCCTTCGCCAGGAACTGGTCCATCCTGATGCTATGTCTAAAGTATAAGAGACAAAGCCAGGCCATCCTGGCTTGTAAAGAACATTCTGGTTGTACTTCCCACACAGGTTTACTTGTTTTTCTGCCACTCCATGGTACTTTTAAGGAGCTCTGGTAGCATAGTGGTTACAAATTGGGCTGTGAGCCGCAAGGTCAACAGTTCGAAACTACCAGCTGTTCCACGGGAGACAGATGAGGCTTTCTGCTCCCATAAAGATTTACAGTGTCGGAAAACCTATACAGGGTGGCTATGAGTCGGAACCGACTCCATGGCACATAACAACAACGTGGTACTTTTAATATTCTCCTCCATTATCATAACTCAAATGCATCAGTTCTTCGATGGTAGTTCTTATTCAGTGTCTAACTTTCATATGCGTGTGAGGCTGTTGAAAATACCATGGCTTGGGTCAGGCATACCTCAGTCCTCAAACTGACATCTTCACTGTTCAACACTTTAAAGAGGTCTTGTACAGCAGATTTGCCTAATGCATTATGTCATTTGATTTCTTGATTGCTACTTCCATGAGTGTTAATAGTTGATCAGAGCAAAATAAAAATGTTGACAGCTTCAGTTGTTTTCTCCATTTATCTTGTATTAAATCCATTGTAAAGATTTTTGTTTTCTTTACATTGAGGTACAACCCATACTGAAGGCTATGGTCATTGATTTTTATCAGTAAGTATTTTAAGTCCTCTTCACTTTCAGTAAGAAAGATTGTATCGTCGGCATATCACAGGTTATTGATGAGTCTTCCTCCAATCCTGATGACACATTCTTCTTCATATAATCCATTTCCTCAGATTATTTGCTCAGCATGCAGACTGAATAAGTGGTGAAAGAATGCAACCTTGACGCACACCTTCCCTTGTTCTTTTCAAACAACTGTCTCTTGGTCTATGTACAGGGTTCTCATGAGCACAATTAAGTGTTCTAGAACATTCATTATCTACAGTGTTGTCCAAAGCTTGTCACGATCCACACAATCAAAAGCCTTTGTCTAGTAAATAAAGCACAGATAAACGTTTTTCTGGCATTCTCTGCTTTCAGCCAAGATCTATCTGACATCAGTAATGATATCCCTGGTTCCACATCCTTGTCTGAATCCAGTTTGAGCCTCTGGCACTTCCCTGTCAATGTACAGTGGCAGCCGTTTTAAAATTATCTTTAGCAAAATTTTACTTGCATGCAGTATTAATGATATTGTCTGATGAATTTTGCATTCTGTTAGGTCACCTCTCTTTGGAATGGGCACAAATATGGATTTCTTCCAATCAGTTGGACAGGTAGTTTTCTTCCAAATTTCTTGGCATAGCTGAGTGAGTGCCTCCAGTGCTGCATCAGTTTATTGAAATATTTCAATTTGTAGTCCTTCAATTCCTGGAGCCTTGTTCTTTGCCGGTGCCTTCAGTACACCTTGGACTTCTTCCTTCAGTATCACTGATTCTTGATCATACGCTACCTCTTGAAATGGTTAAACATCCACCATTTTCTTTTTGGTACAGTGACTGTGTATTCTTTCCTTTTTTTTTTTTTGCACTCAACCAATTGTATTTTGTTTCATTGCAATTACAATCCCCTCCACGCCCCATTGGTTAACAGTATTTGCCTCTATTCCCTCCTTTTTTTTTTTTAATGTACACAAAAGCACACAGGAATATATAATTGTTTAAACAACCAAAGGGCACATTTTGCAAACCAGTCTCCAACCCACCCACACACAGCCTTTCTCTTTTCATGACTCTTGAGTCCTAAACTGTTCTGTCTCTCCATGCCATTACCTCTGCCTCCACCTCTAGTGTCACTGCTTCTTTGGTTAGGGTCCCACGTTCTTCCCTTTTGATGGTCCTAGGGTCCTCTGTTCCTGGAATGTAAGATTAACTGATCCCCCCCTTTTGGTTACACATTTTCTACCTTTACAGTTGTGAGAATTGCAATTAGTCATGATAACAATTACTATTGAATCAAGAGTCCTATCCCCATCTCCTTTCGCCAGATCCATCTAGACAAGATGAAAACTATCCAGTGGGGATTCTACCTTCCCCCCTTGCTCTGAAACTAAACTTCCTGTTGAAAACTGTAAGCCAGCCACTTCCTGCCTTTATAACTCCTCCCACTCCCCATTTTAGGTAGCCAACGTCTAAGTTGCCCATCCCTCTGGTAGCGTAGTGGTTACGGCTGTGAACCGCAAGGTCAGCAGTTCAAAATTACCAGCTGTTCTGCGGGAGAAAGATTAGGCTTTCTATTCCCGTAAAGATTTACAGCCTCAGAAACCCTGTACAAGGTCGCTATGGGTCAGAACCGACTCCACGGCACATAACCACCACCATCTACTCTGTGTACTGAGGGGATAGGCTTGATCCTTAATGTGAAGACTCCTTCCCTCTCTGTTGGTATTTTGAGCAACTACATCCATAAGCAAAGGTCAAGTTCATCAAATTGTAGCTATTTTTACTTGCTTTCTGTATCAAACTTCTTTATCTTCTTCTAGTCAAGTTCTGATCATCAAGCCATCCAAGCTAGATCAAATGGGTACTATCTGCAAGTTTGAGCATTCATGCATGCCTCCCACCACTTCATCTCAGCTGGAAACTTTACTCTCAGCTCTAACCTCCATGGCTAGGTCAGTGTCCATGGGCTCAGGAGTTCCCAAGTCTCCCCAAACTTTGGACTAGCCAGCCCTTCCTCTTCTCTCATCTCAGGGTTGACAGGAGTCTACTTCCATCTTGTTTGGTGCTTTCTTCATCATTCAATATTTTGCCCATAGAATCTTTCAATATTGCAAGTTGAAGCTTGAATTTTTTCTTCACTTCTTTGAGCTTGAGAAATGCTGAGTGTATTCTTCCCTTTTGATTTTCTAACTCTAGGTCTTTGCACATTTTATTATAATATTTGGCTTTGTCTTCTTGAGCTGCCCTTGAAAATGCTACATTCAGCAATTTTTCTCCTCATTTCTTCCATTGACGTTAGCGTCTCTACGTTGCAGAGCACATATCAGAGTCTCTTTTGACTTCCAGACACCCAGTCACTTCTGTCTTGGTCTAGAAGTGCAACTGAAACTTCTCCATCATGGGTGACCCTGCTGGTATTTAAAATACTGGTGGTGTAGCTTTCAGAATCACAGCAATATGCCAGTCACCACGGTATTACTGACAGATGAGTGGTGGTCCCCAAATATGGAAGAGAATTCCTGCAAGTGGGAACAGCCATCATCTCAAAGGCATGAAACCTTGGAAGGTCATGGTTTGCTAAGGGAACACTGAGAAGTTCAATGTGACTGTGGTCTTGGGTACTGAGGGTAGAGTGGGTACATCAGGTCAAGGAGGTAGGTAGGGCTTATATCCCCAGGCTGCACCTCAGATCAACTAAATCAAAATTTCAGTTGCTGGAACCCACTTATTCCAATGTGCAGTTGGGAATGTCCAATTTGGGAATCAAGACATTACGATGATATCTCAGGTGGCACCTGGGAAGATTTTTTTTTTAGAGAAAGGGAGATTGAGAAAGGAAAACAAACGCATTTAGGAATTTGTTGGAGAAATATCTGATGCAAATGAAATGAAACTAGATCTTTTAATGTCAAGGAGATGTTGTTGTTGTTGTTAGGTGCCATTGAGTTGGTACCGATTCATAGCGACCCTGTGTACAACAGATCGAAACCCTGCCTGTTCCTGGGCCAACCTCACAGTTGCTGACACACTTGAGCCCATTGATGCCGCCACTTTGCTAGTCCATCTCACTGAGGGTCTTCCTCTTTTTCTCTGGTCCTCCACCTTAACCAAACATGATATCTTTGTCCAGCAACTGGTCCCTCCTGACAATATGTCTGAAGTATGAGAGAGAAGTTTGGTCATTCTGGCCTCCCAGGAGCACTCTGGCTGTACTTCTTTCAACACAGATCTGTTGGTTCTTTTGGCAGCCCATGGCATTTTCAGTATTTTCCTCCAATACTGTAACCCAAAAACATCAATTCTTCTAAGGTCTTCTTTATTCACTGTCCAGCTTTCACATGCATATGAGGTTATTGAAAATACCATGGCTTGGGTCAGGCGTACCTTTGTCCTCAAAGTGACATCTTTGCTGTTCAACACTTTACAAAGGTCTTGTGCAGCAGATTTGCCTAATGCAATATGTTGTTTAATTTCTTGACTGCTGCTTCCATGAGTGTTGATATTTGAACCAAAAAGAATGAAATACTTGACAACTTCAGTCTTTTCTCCATAGGGAAGAGAATATAATGTGAGCTAAATCTTAATCTTTTGTACTAGAGAGACAATGAATAATGCCTTAGGTAGACACAAAAACAGCATTATAAAAATATTGTTTAGATTTAAGGCTATAATATCTAGATCTAAAATAAAAAAAGTTAAAATGAGGGATTTTTAGAAAGTGGGATGAAACATCTTTTTATTATAAATTATTATTTTTATTTTATTTGACTATATTGTTATACATTTTAAAGGGAAAAGAACAACAAAAAACACCATTAGAGATTTTTTTGTTTGCTTTATTTTTGTTTTGTTTTTTAGAAACCTGCATAGGATCATTAGGGGAGGCAGAAGAAAGTGAATCCCATTCTGGTAAGAGGAGTATTGATAAACTGAAAAGGTAGTTATAATTTCTTTTGTTGCTGTAATGTGAAGGTACAGCCTGCAGGTTTCTTGGAGGACTTCTGGGCCTTTTAAGACACACTTTCTCTTCATCACTACTTTGATAACAGCTGTGGTCACAGTTCTAGGTGAACAGAATCACTGATGAAATGCAGAAGGCCTATTTATTACCTGCCACCCAAGTGCAGTCATGTCCTGAAGACAAGTCCTTTGTAGACTAGGGGTCAGCTAGAGGCCTGACAGTGGGATGTGAAATACCCATAGGAAGAGGATTGAATTAACTTTGTGGTTATTAGGTCACAGTTTTCTGCCAGATCAGGAAAGTGACACAAAACAGCCACAGCAGATGGAGCTAGAAGGACCTACTTTGAAGCAGGTGAGCATGTACCAGGGCATACTACTAGGCCCTGTTTAAGTTGCCTATTGCTGTATAACAGACCACGCCAAAGCTTAAACCACAGCGACTTGTTATTTCTCAGGATTCTGTGGGTTGATGGGCCAGTGATTCTGGTCATTGTGCAGCTGCCATAGTTTTCTCCCATTGACATTTTGGTTAGCAGCTGTGCAGTTACCCATACACCACCAGCGTTCCTTTCTTGACAGCAATAATGATTTTTTAAAAAAGAGAAAGAGATCACTTTCTTAAGAGATAAGCCACATTTTATTGGTCAAGGAAGTCACTAGGTCAGCCCAGAATCAATAGGGAAGAACACATCTTCCATCTTCTGTGAGAAGGAGCAGCATATGCGTGCAGGAATGAGAGGAATGTTGGCAACCATCTTGGAGGCAACCTCCCACAGCTCTTAGCTGCCTACTGGGAAGGGGAAAAGATGAGTTTGGACTTCATTTGGATGGCCTGGGTGGCAAAGAATTTGTGATACAAACTTCTCCCCAATCTCAGGAGGTAGCTCTTTGACCTGCACTCAGATTAGAAGTTAATTGCCACAAGAAAAATATTTTTTAGAAAAATGCTTTTAGTTTCCTAATGTCTGAATTTACTTACTGCGATGAATTTCAGGATGCCACAGAGCACTCCGAGATGGACTGTCATGCGAATCCTCCAGACTCCCTCCATAAGAGCAGGAGTAAGTTACTAGGGTGGAGAAGACTTTGTGAGTGACTGAGTGCAGGTAGAGTGGAACCTATGTTGGACAGGATGGCTTATGTCCTGGAGGGCACAGTCCTCAGCCTTTAGATGGCTCCTAGAGATATTCTAGCCTCCTTTTTCCAAGTTTGGGGATGGCTTCAGGTGTGATTAATGGCTGGGTCTTCTTTTAGGTACTGAATTGGTCAGGACAGAGTCTACTAAGGAGGACATCAGTGCTCAAGGGAAGGTTGAGCTGGAATCCCAGACTTCTAGTGAAGAGAAAACCCCCAAGAACCTTTTAGACAGTACAGCTGAAACCACTTGGAACCCTGAGCTTAAACTTCTGAAGATTCATCAGGACTCTGATGATGAGGAAAAGGAGATGCTACCCCTACCCTCCAGGGCAAAGAGTGAAGATGCTCTGGAGGCACAGGCTGAAGATATCACTCAGGGCAACCCTGTTCGAGAGCAGGATACTTAATCCTGAAGACAACAACCTTTGATATAAAGGACAGAAGGGGAGGGAATGTCTGCTCTCTGGAGGTGTTACTGGGGACTGAACTTGTTTTCTTTCTTCCTTTCTACTTGCCTCTGAAAAAAGAGAGCTAAAAAGCCCTATCACTTTTACATTTAGATTTTTTCTCCTTCTATTAGGTCAAGAACTGTTTTATTATTAAACACAAATTTTTGTCAGTGAAAAGACTCATTCTTTGTTTTTGGGAGGAGGGGAGAGATTTTTCTTTTATTTGGGGGTGTGTGTGTGTGTGTTCACTTTTATTTCCTTTCTGAAGTCTGAAAGGTTTCTAGTTATAAGAAGCCAGCTTTGGCCTATGGAAACCCCAACTGTGTTCCTAGCTTACCCTGTCATTTCCTGGAAATGATTTCCTCTAGGGATGAGACTCACATCATTTTCTAATAAGTTGTGTCCTCTTGTATATAGTTGTTGTTGTCACATGCTATCGAGTTGTTCTGATCCATAGTGAGCTTGTATAGGGTTTCTGAGGAGCAGCTGGTGGGTTTGAACTGCTAACCTTGCTTATCCTAAAAGGCCACACCAGGACTCCTCATATGTAGTTGTTGTTGTTATTGTTGCTGTTGTTGTTAGTGCCATTGAGTTGGTTCTGACTCATAGTGACACCGTATAGAGTTTCCAAGGAGCAGCTGATGAGTTTGAACTGCCCACCTTCTGGTTCACAGTCCAGTGCTGATCCTACAGCACCACACCAGGCAGGAGTCCATCCGGATCTCTCCCATAGGAGGTGAGAATTCTACCATTGTTATTAGGTGCCATCAAGTTGGTTCCGATTCACAGTGACCTTATGCAATAGAACAAAACACTTCTGATCCTGCGCCATCCCCACAATCATTGTTATGGCTGAGCCCATTGCTGCTGTCATGGTACCAATCCATCTTGTTGGGGGTCTTCCTCTTTGTTGCTGACCTTACTTTACCAAGCATGATGTCCTTCTCCAGGGGCTGGCCCTTCCTGACAATATGTCTGAAGTATGAGAGATAAAAGTCTGGCCATCCTGGCCTCTAAGGAGCATTCTGGCTGTACTTTTTCCAACACAGATTTGTTTGTCTTCTGGTGGTCTATGGTACTTCTAAAATTCTTCAACACCATAAGTCATATGTCATACTGAACCCATATTTAGTACTGGACCCATGTTCTCCCAGAAGAATCTAAAACTCCAGTTTCTAAGGAACTCAATCTGTAAGAAAATTTCAGTTATGCTCATAAAGACTCAGAATTTTTAAATTCTTGAACTGTTTTTGAAAGCACTTTTTTTTTTTTTTTTTTTTTTTTATGTTTTAGTACTAAAAAATAACCTTTTTGTTACGGAAAATTTCAAAATTACAGAAAAGGAGAGAGACTAATATAATGAAACATTTATGTACCAGTCACCACACTTAGATCCGGGCAGGAAAGGCCCTTGCTCTAAGTCCTGCTCTGACTCTTTTCTAGTCATGCCCCTCCTCTTGGAGATAGGATTTTGCAGGGCCAAGGAAGTGCTTTAGAGCCTTGCACAGACCTTGTTCCCTTCTAGACCTTGTTCTTGAGGCTCCAAACCCTGGAATTCCCTGCCCAGATGGCTTCCAGTCCGTTTCCAAGGCTTCTTTCCTGGATCCATCCTCCCAGGAGTGCACTGGACTACCACTGTGTGCACTGCTGGATCCAAGATGGTGAAGAGGAGCCTATTTAGATAGGAAGTGCCTAGAGCTTGAACATGTGGGTTTAGGTATCTGCATATATCCTTTTCCAGTAAGGGTAGGAGCTGGGGGTGTGAAGACAAGGATGGACTATGGGCTGGGGATGTTTCTTCCCATGCTGCACGTCAAGTATGCTGCTGCTGCCAGAAATCTGTGAACCCTGAATTTGAATCTGGCCTTGTAGGTCATTATGAAGGTCAAAGAGCACAGCCTTCAGTATGGACTACATCTCAACGTAAAGAAAACAAAAATTCACCACTGGACCAATAAACAATATTCTTATCAATGGAGAAAAGATTGAAGTTGTCAAGGGCTTCATTCTTGGATCAATCATCAACACTTGTGGAAGCGGCAGTCAAGAAATCAAACGATGTATTGCATTAGGCAAATCTGCTGCACAAGACCTTTTAAAAATGTTGAAGAGCAAAGATGTCAGCTTGAGGACTAAGGTGCGCCCGACCCAAGCCATGGTATTTTCTATAACCTCATATGCATGCAAAAGTTGGACAGTGAATAAGGAAGACCGTAGAAGAATTGGTGCTTTTCAGTTACGGTGTTGGAAGAGAATATTGGAAGTGCCATGGACTGCCAAAAGAACCAACAGATCTGTGTTGAAAGAAGTGCAGCCAGAATGTTCCTTGGAGATCAGCATGGCCAAATGTCGTCTCTCATACTTCAAACATATTGTTCGAAGGGACCAGTCGCTGGAGAAGGATATCATGTTTGATAGGGTGGAGGGCCAGAGAAAAAGAGGAAGACCCCCAACAAGATGGATTGGCAAAGTGGCAGCATTGATGGGCTCAAGCGTGTCAACAAGTGTGAGGTTGGCCCAGGACAGGGCAGTGTTTCGTTCTGTTGTACATAGGATCATTATGAGTCGGTACCAACTCGATGGCACCTAACAGCAACAACAACAACAACAACAAAATTCCTTTTAACACTATTTTATAGATTTCAGGATATGAGTTTGACACTTTTTTCACAAACTTCTACCACACCTCCCAGTGTTTTTGTTTTTTTTTCTCTCCCTCCTTCCATTGTTTTTTGAGAGGGCTTTAGAGCTCTCTGTTTTATGACCTACTTCTGTACCCTTGAAGTCTCTGAGCCAACAACAAACATATGAAGGAATGCTCAAGATCCTTAGCCATTGTTGTTGTTAGGTGCTGTCGAGTTGCTGTCTACCTAATGCCTTTGCATAGCAATAAAGCACAAGTAAACATCTTTCTGATATTCTCTCCTTTTAGCCAAGATTCATCTGACATCAACAATGATCTCTCTAGTTCGATGTCCTCTTCTGAATCTGGCTTGAATTTCTGGCAACATCCTGTTGATGTACTACTGCAATAGTTTAAAAATTATTTTGAATTTTAATTAGCCATTTGAGAGATGCAAATCAAATCTACAATGAGATATCATTTCATCCTAGCATTGAAAAATCAGAAAACAACAAATGCTAGCAAGGAACTAGAACCCTCATGCACTGCTGGTGGGACTGTAACATAGTGCAATCATAATGGAAAAATGGTAGGACACTTCCTTAAAAAGTTGGAAATAAAAATTCAGTGTGACCCAACATGCCTCTAATTGGTATAGATCCAAGAGAAATAAGAACCATGACACAAATAGATATCTGCATACCCAGGTTCACTGCAGCCTTATTCACAACAGCAAAATGATGGGAACAACCTCAATGCTCATGTCAGTGTAAGAATGGATAAACAAACTATGGTACATACACACAATGGAATACTCCACAATGTTAATGTTGAATCTGTGAAATACCTCATAACATTGAGGACATTATACTGAGTGAAATAAGTCTATCACAAAAGGACAAATATTGTATGAGACCGCTATTATAAAAATTCAAGAAAAGATTTATATATGAAAGGAAGCATTCTTTGATAGTTAACAGGTCGGAAGAAAAGGGAGGATAAATACTAACTAGACGATAACTAACTTGCATTAGAAGGTCCTAGATAGAGTGGGAGAGGAATGTGGAACAAAACTCAAAATTTATACAAAATTGCTGGTTATATATATATATCCACATATGCACACATATATATGTATATATACACATATGTACACACTCATATGTACATACGTGGAGTCCTGGTTTAGTGCTGGAGGATAAGCACTGGACTGAAAGGTCAATTTGAACTTTGTTTGCAGTTCAAACTCACCAGCTGCTCTCCTTGGAAATCCTATCAGGATCGCAGAGTCAGAATTGACTCTATGGCATTTAACAACAGCAGCAACATACACATATACGTTGTTGTTAAGTGTAGTCATAGGAACCCTGTATAGGATTTCCCAGGAATGGCTGATGGTTTGGAACCACCAACTTTGTGGTTAGCAGTGCCGTGCTGATCCACACCAGGAGTCCTCTATGTATATATGTATGTATGTATGTATGTATATATATATATATATATATATATATAGTTAAAAATGACACTTTACTACCAACTATAAAAATATTGCCTGAAGAATATACAAATCTACGATGATTACAATGTAAGCTGTATCCCTAGAATTTTCTGATCCTACAGTGCCACATCAGGATCCCATATTTTCCCCCTCACTTATCACTGATCTCATTTATCTGACATTTCAGATTTATGACAATAGTAAAAAAAAGTTTATCATTTGACTATTTTGCACACTATCAACGTATGTCTGACAGTAACAAATGCCGAGGTATGAGGCGAGGGTAATGCTGACCATGACAGTTAGGATGTGTGTCAGCTTGGCTGACCATGATTCTCCGTGGCTTGGACAGTTCTGTAATAAGTAATTTGGCAGTTATATAATGATATAATTTGACAGCTATGTAATAATGCACTTATCTTTTTATGATCTGATGTGATCATCTCCATTTATGTATAGTGCCTGTTTTCATATAACAACCTGGTCTTTGGAACCTAACCATGCTGTTAAGTGAGGAGTTGTTGTTGTTGTTGTAAAGTGCCGTTGAGTTGGTTTCCACCCATAGCGACCCTGTATAGGATTTCCGAGGTACAGCTGGGAGCTTGAACCACTGACCTTGCAGTTCAAACAGCTTTTCAGTCTGGCGCATTAACCCACAGCACCACACCAGGACTCCTGTAAGTGAGGAGTGGGGGCATTTATTTGTTTAGAATATTATTTAGAATATACCTAGCAAAAGATACATTTTAAGGTTTGCCATCCATTGCCGATCCTAGAGCACCACACCAGTAGTCATATACCCCCCCCACACACATATGATGGTGGTGTGCCATGAAG